AACCAATGCCTTTCCCATGAGACCTGTGTGCCTCACCTGTTGGATAATACATGAGGGTGTTCCGAGCTGTGTATTCCCAGGTATCCAGTCCAGCCTTCACATTCTCCAGAGCTTGCTGCTCTGCTGAAGGAAGTGCCAGGTTTTCATTTTGTCGCTGAAAAGGCAATAGGAAAAAAATGTAAAAGGGTGGAAAAAAACCCCAGAGGTCTGAAATAGCCTCCTGCAATCTTTTATTCAGGCAGACACACTTTGCAGAGGTCAACCACAGGCTCAGCCACCTGCCCTTGTACACTTTGCATCAGGCACAGCACAAGCACTCTCTCTTTGGCAACTGGCATTGGAGAAACCATCCTGATCCCAGGTGAGCTTCCAAACAACCACTCCCTATGAAGCACACTATGCAAGGAAATGTAAGGTCTGACTAGAGTGCTGGCTGACAGCAAGACACAACTCCAGCACAAGACCAGCTCCAGTAGCTTCACCTTGACCTGAAACAACCCCTGTGCTTTGCAAGAGCTCTCCTGCTGCCTGCCTCTTAATTCTGGATGAAAGCATTCAAGATGTATAATGAGCCACAGAGGGCATTTTTACTGTAACAGACTCTGAGGGTTTACATTAGCTGGAATAAAAAAATAACACTCCCTCACAACAACAGCAGTAAACACTCATGTGTCAGTGCCAAACTTCATTAAAGGCACTGCAGCCCTCATCCATCACTGACACATCTGGCAGCACTGCCAGCTGCTCACTGCTGATGGTTAAGGATTGACAAGGCAGCCCCAGAACAGCTCTGTACCTGCCCCAGAGGGAGCTGAGGAGGACAGCACAGCCAGCCATGCTCACACAGTACTGTGCTTGGGCAGGTGAAGGGGGTAGGACTAGTAACAGAAAACTGAAATGAGACACACAGTCTAACTACAAACAATAAAGGGCTGATGGACAAACACCAGGAACTGTTCTCAGTTGCTCTCCCTGGTGCTGCTGCTTACAGAGGAGACTGTCAAGGACAGCAATATCTGCACTCAGTGCAGTGCTTTGCAGTCTCAAAGCTTTAAGAGGCAAATCCTCAGCAACTAAGTCAAACACTGTTCTTACAGATGGGGAAAAAATAGGACTGCACAAAGAAGCAAAGAGCAGTCACAGGACTCAGGCTTAGCTCAGACTTAGTCATGATCAACCTATGCACCCACTATGCAAAATCGAGATCTTTCTACTCTTATTCAATATGAGTGATTTAACAGCCCAATGCAACAGCCAACAATTCTCACCAGTATTTATAGTAAGATCAGAAAACAGAAGGCAAGACAATATTCTGTTTATCAAGCAAGTAAGAGAGTGAAGTGGCATTTCCCTGCCGTGTCCCCGCGGAAGGGCAGTCCCTACCCGCGTGTACTCCTCCTCTGCACTGTACAGCCACGCGTGCTTGACCTTCTCCTTCTCCTTGGCCACCTCCATGATCTGCTCAAACGAAGCATTGTCTTCACTCGTGTGCTTGGCCAGGAAGGTGTCCAGGCTGGGAAGGGCATCTTTATCATCTTTTTCTGCTTCTCCTAACAAGAGGAGGGAAGAAGCCTGAGAAAGGTTAATGCCTCCCTTTCTGTGAGAGCACTACATATAACTGCTAATCCTCCTGGCAGCGAGCCCTCCACGGACACACTGACAACTAACATGGAACTCGGTGAAACAAATATATTCACCCAGGAATAAATCTTTTTTGGAACACATATAACCAACTTTTACATAAAACCTTTTATGGCCTTTATAGCTATTTGTTTTAATGGTAAAGCACATAAGAGGACAGCTGCTAGCAGTCATTTGTACATGCCCTACAGACAGCTCTGCCCCTCCAGTCTTTGCTTACTGACAGAATTTATTTCAGGTGACACAGGAAAAATTTACTGCCTTTGAAGAGATCAGCTAAGTTAAGAATTTACACAGCCACAAAGAGAATTCACACAGATGACGTAAAACATTAAATGTAAAACATTACATCAAGTCCAACTTCAGCAGGATCATTTTCACCTACCAGAAGGTTAAAGGAAAACTGCTTAAACATGTTCTAAGTACCCAAAACCCTTAGAGGAGACAGGGCTCACAAGAATATTTTCCTGCTGCTGAAGAATTCAGCTAGAGAAACAACATTCTCCTACCTTCTTCTGAAGATTTGATGCCACCTTTGGATTTACTTCCCAGTGGAAGGCCGCCTGGATGCACTTCTGGGGTTTCAAATGTGGCTGGGGTAACATCTGTCACAGAAAATAAAGGTTCACTTGGTTACCAGAGCACATATCAGGACCCTTGCTCTGAGGGTCATGTGCCAAACAAGTCACAGAAGGCACATCAAGAGGACAAATTAATTAAAAACTTGTGGAAAGACTCCAAAATACTGTATTCAATCCTGTCTAGATTTTGGTCTCATCTAAGACATCGTTTTTCTCCTCCTGGGAGAAATTCCCAGGAGAGCCACAGCCCAGTGTATTTGCCACCCTACCCCCTGCTTTTGTCTACAGAAGGAACAGCAGAACAATCCTAACCCAACCCAGGGCCAGCACCTGCACTGGGGAGGAAGGGAAACCCCTGGTGACATGTGTCCTTTGTCACAATAAAGCCACTTACTCAAACCCCACTGAGAGAGTTCAGCCAGGGGCTGGGCTTTAATCTAAAACCCTGAAAGGGTAATATAAAATGTATAAAAATATAAAATAGAAGTATAAGAACAAAGTATAAATTAGGAGTATAAAAATATGAAAGTAATACAAAACCCTGGAAGTGAAAGGAAAACACAGAACAGGGCATTGGATGTGGGAACCTCTGATAACCACAAGCTTCCAACACCTTCTGTCCCTAATACATGATAATCTTACACATCTGTAGGTGCAACAAGAACCCCTAACACTACAGTAAGGGTTCAAAACACAGCTTAGGATTTCTGACAGCGTTAATATTGCACATTAGAGCATGTAACATTCCCCAGGGAGCAGGAACTTGGCAAAAGATGCCTGTAAGGAATAGTTATTCAAAAGCTGCTTTGTCCAAAACCCTTCCTTCAATAAGGAGTTATCAAACACCATCAAAGAGAGATTCAGCATCAGCCACCAGACAGTGGCTACTGCCCAATCTGGGACAGTAACTCTCATGCAATGTCAACCTTTAACCTTTTAGATAAGCACTGTCTGCACCAAGTTAGATAGCAGAGCAACAGTATCAGATACAAATTCCTGATGCCCCAGAGAGGCACTTCTTACAGGGTGCAGGTGTGTCCCTCGACGATTTGCTCAAGGAGGAGCCAAACTTGATGGCAATTTGCCTCATCTTCTCCAAGTCGCCGTTTTCCTCAGCCTCCAGATACTCCTTCTGTGCCCGCAGCTTCTCCACGTCGGGGAAGAAATCCCGCTGAATGATCTTCTCCAAGCTCTGCAAACAGAGGCGGCTGCTCAGCCACGCCGGGACACCCGGGAACGCCAGCTGAGCTCGGGGCCGGCCGCGCACAGCCCCCGGGCAGGACGGGCAGCCGCGGGCCCGGCGCCGGTGGCGGAGCGCTCTCAGTCCCGCCGCAGACTCGGGGGCCGGTCACGGCGCTGTCCCGACCCGAGCCGCGGTTACAGCGGGCAGCGGCCGCGGGCGGACCGGCCGGGTCGACCCGAAGCGCTCGGCCCGGGGGCAACGCGGCAGCGGGGCCTGCCGGGGCCGCCGCCTCACCTCAATGTAGGCGTCCTCGTCCAGGATCTTCTTCGCCTGCCTCGGCGCCGGCGACGTCGCCTCCTTGGCCGTTCCGCGACGGGGCCGGCAGCGGCGGCGGGCAGCAGAGCGGCGGGGGAGGCCGCGGGCAGCGGCAACCGGCAGCGCCTCCATCGGCGTCGGGCCCGGGGCGGCCGCGGCCTCTTCCTCCTCCGCTCCCGTGACGTCACAGCTGCGCGCCACGGGGCGGCCCGAACGCCGCGCGCGCCCCCTGCTGGACGGGAGGACCTGCCCGGTCCCGCTCCGGGACAAGGGATGAGGATGGGAACTGGGATGGGAACTGGGATGGGAGCTGGGATGGGAACTAGGATGGGAGCTGGGATGGGAACTAGGATGGGAGCTGGGATGGGAACTAGAATGGGAGCTGGGATGGGAGCAGAAAGGGAATTGAGGTGGGAGCTGGGATGGGAGCAGAAAGGGATCTGGGATGGGAACTGGGATGGGAGATGCGATGGGAACCAGGATGGGAGCTGGGATGGGAGTTGGGATAAGAGCCAGGCACGATCCCCCAGCACCCCCCAAGGCCGCCTCAGGCCTCCTCAGAAAAACCTCAGGATCCCCAGACTCGGGAATGGGGAAGGTGTCCCTGGGGAGCAGGACCCCTGCCCAGCTGCTCGGGCAGAGGTGGCATTACAGTTTTATGGATCTCGGTGCTCTACAGGACGTGGGTTCTCTTTGTCCCTGCCAGAAACATGGACATGGCTCGTTCTGGCAGGACCTGGCTGCAGCACAGAGAGCTGAGCACTGGCTGTGCCAGCTCTCCCATCACAACCCATGGCTCATCCCTGCCTCAGGCTGTGGGGACAAACCGGGATTTCTTTATTATGGAACAAATCACCTGTTCAGCAAGTGCCACCCCCAAAGCAACTCCGGATGCCACTGAGGTGCTGCAAATAGGAAACATTCATTTGCAGGATATTTTGCAAATTACAGCAGTAAACCAAGCACAAATACTATGGGTACAGAGCGCAGACAAGAAGGGGACTCTCTCCTCTTGAAGCACACACACTTAGCACTGGTACAGGTCTGTCCCCTGCACGCCGTGCCCGCCGAGTTATTTGCCACGTGAACTAGGTTTGCAAGAGGGATGTGAAGGTGCCGTGTCTGCTTTTACCTGTCCTCCTCCTCTGTGAATCACAGAGATTCCCTCTTGCTTCATTAGTGCCCCTCGGGTTATCCCCCCTGCAGAGCCCATCAGCCACGGGCAGCGGATGCTCTTGGTGTCACTCTGCTGAGCTGCAGCACCCACAGCACCCACAGCACTAGCAGCTCTCCTCGGGGGGTTGCTTGGTGCCCTGCAGGATCAGTGCCGAGGCGCTCGCCCTCTTCTGGTGCCGCCACTTCGCCCGACGATTTTTAAACCAAACCTAGAAAAATGCAAAACAAGAAAAGTGCTTTTGCCTCTCGTGTATTACTGGGGAGGGGGGGAGGCAGCTACACTGCTGAGCTGTGCCATGTGAGCTTTAGGACACTGTAATACATTTCCTGATATGATCAGTCCCTCCACTACAGTCCTGCTCAGATACAGCTAAGGGGCACAAGGGAGTTGGGACCCTCCCATGGCAAATCCAGAAGGCACGCAAAGCACATGAGTAAGGAATATACACTTGGGTGCAGGGGATGGGTGAGCTGGGCACATCTGTGTGTTTATACAAGTGGTTCTGGGAGAGAGGCATCGTGTCAGTGGGACTGGATACCAGAACAAATCAGCCCAGCAGAACAGGTTTATATTCTTCCACTGTTTGCCATTCCCAAGTCCTGTTTTGTCAAGTACACAAGACTAGATTTCAAAACGAGGCCCTGGATCTGCAGTTCCTGAAAAAGACAGCCCTGGGCTGTGTTCCTGGGGGACTGCAGGAAGCAGCACCCACCGAGGGGCAGCACCTCACCTCTACCCTCTCCTCCTTCAGGTGGATGCGGTTTGCCAGGTGCTCCCGGGTGACGACATCTGGGTACTGGTTCTGGTGGAAAAGCGTCTCCAGGGCCTGCAGCTGCTCCTCAGTGAAGATGGTGCGGTGCCGGCGCGTCCGGCGCTGGATCTGCTGGAAAGCCTGCAGCTCGCTGGGGTTCTCCTGGGGACTCTTGCAGACCCTGACTGCCGAGTGGAAGAGCCTCATGGGCCAGGGGAACCGGGCATCTGCAAGGGGACAGGGAGAGGGACAGTGCTGGGGTGGGGAGCTGGAACACCCGTCCTGCCCAAGGCAGCTCAGGCACAAGTTTCACCCGTGCACAGGGCAGTCACCTGGAGCGGGTGACAGGCTGAGTGGTCCCCACACAAGCGAGAGAAGAGCTTAGGGCATCATTTGGGAGAAGGATGCGGGTGGGGAGCACTGGCTGGGTTTTCCTTGCTCACTTACCAGGTGCACTATGGCCAGCTCCAGACAATGGCTGGAAACTCACAGCCTGGCAAGGAGCTGTTTTGGTCCTGACACGGGGGATTTCTGAACTTTCAGGATGCTCTTGAACTGCATTTTTAAGGGTTTGCTACTTTTTTTTACCCTAGATGCAGTAATTTTGTGAGATGTAGCCAAAAGTCTTTTCCTTAAGGGACAAGTGAGGTTCTCCAGGGCTGGTGTTGTCAGGAAGCACAGACACAGCTCTGCACTTGGGCAGCATGGTCATGGGGCCCCACGCTCCACATCATCCTCTCAGGAGTTTCATACTAAACCAGTAATATCAGTAATAAACAGCACCTGCTGCTTTTCAGACTGATAACATTGCAGATTGGATGCAATGGATTCCAATTGTTGGGAGTTCTGCTGAGAGCAGAGCTCAGCTCACTGGAGCTGGGATCTGAGACCAGCATGCCCAGATGCCACAGTGTCACAACACCCTGGTTTTCCCCCACACCCAGCACTATCACCAGCCCCCCTGTGAGCCCCATGCCACAAATCAAACCCAAACACTCACCCAGCCAACCTGGTGAGTCCTGCAGGGAGCGGGTGCTTGTGTGAGAACAGCAGCAGCAGCCACAGCCTGCCCCTTCCAGCTCTTCCTCTTCCTCCTCCTCCTCCTCTTCCTCCTGCAGGGAGCTGGCTGGGATGGTCTCCAGCTCACACAGCCCTTTGGGTGCGCAGTCTAAGATGCTCCGTAGGCACAGTGGGACCAAGACCTGGGGGCTCTTCTCCACAGGGCTGGAGAGGATGTCCTCGATGCTGAACGGACACGGCTTCTTCGGGGCTCTCCTGCTGGGGTCGGCGTCTGGTGCTGGTTCTGAAGTCATCCTGTGCTGGGAAAACAGGCAGCCTGGGCTGAGGGGGTTTGCTCTGCCTGCACTAGCTCCGTAGTGGGGTCTCACAAGGAAAAGGACAGCTTATATGGCTTTTTAAATGGACTGCAAAACCATCCAGAACTGCTGCTTTGTGTTGGCATTTCAAGTGACTGTCATTCTCGCAGCTGAGTTTTTATTTCATACACACGCACACTTTTCCTCCTTCTGACCCAGCTGCTTTATGGCTGAAGCCACCCTAAATATATATATATATAGAGATATAATCCCTTTGGAAAGAAAACCGTAAACCCCCCTGTGAATAAAATAAATTCTAACTAATCTTGGCAGCTTTGTGAAGGGTTAGTGTGGATCTAAGATTTAGCTAATCCCACAAAAATGACTGGAGAAGGAAATCTGATTTCTCCATCTCGGGTGTAGATTTGAGGTGGTTATGATCTCCATTGTGCTGCAGCCTCCGATCCAAGGAAGGGGGAGGATAGCTGTTCCCAGCCCGGAAATGGACCAGAGGATTAACTCCTTAAAAGAAGCAAATTATCCCTTTCTCTGGCCAAATGAAAGCTTTCCCATCAAAAGAGAGCTGTCATATCACACAATATGAGAGAGGAGAGAGTTCAGCTTAATAAAAAATCATTTTTTAATGACAGCACAGCCTTTGGCTGAGACAGAACTCTCTGTGAAAGTTGATTTATTTTCTGCTGAAAGCAGAGAAATTGTGTTTTCCCTCCTTCCCTTTTCCCCCAGCTCTGCTGCACTAATCACTCTGATAATGCAGACGCTTTGCATGTATCCAACATACTCTCTGTAAGGATTCAAAGCCCTTATTAAATTAGATTACTGGCAGCTCACAGCAGTTCTGCACCATAGCTTAGTGACATGTAACCACCTCCTGCACAGCTGAGCCACGCTCCGTGTCGGGAAGGGAAGGGGAGGACTGATGCTGCTGTCTCCATGTGCTTTCAGGCAGGCAGTGAAGTCCTGTGGTCAGTGAGCCCAGAGCAGCCAGGACAGCTGTCTGGGGCAGCCAGGCTTCCCCAAAACCAGTTCAATTCCCAGGCCCTGTCCATCCAGAGAAACTGGGCTGAGGCTGCAGCCAGGAACAGTGACTCAGGACAGGAGGGGATGGTTTACAAGGGCAAACAGCAAGGCCTGGTAGAAATAAGTAGCTGGGAATAAAATGAAGAAGGTTCGATTGAGCTCAGGTTGCTTAGGAAAGTTTAAACCAAGTTCTCTTGCCCTCAATGTGGCTTAAGCCAAGGTGAGTAGCCAGGCCTCAGGAGCTCACATGGGGAGTGCTCTCCCGCTCGGTGTTTCCTTGCAAGGGAGAGGAGTTACCAGTCTCTCTCACTGCACACCAAGGACACAAACAGGTGGGTGCTGTGAAACCACTGCACATCAAACCACAGCAATGGCTCTGGCATCATGCAAAGCTGACAGCCAGTTCCCAGGAGAACCCCCTCTCAATCCCCCTTCTTTTCTCCTTGGCCCGGCTCACTACCTGCCCTTCCTCACCTTGGAGGTATCCCAGTTCTGGGAAGAGATGCCCTGTGGCTACTCTACCTGTGACTCACTTAAAACCAAACCATTATCTGTAATTCCATTCCTGTATTTGCCTCTCCTTCAGCTGTTCCAATGACATAACATGGATTATAACCATGGTCTGTGAATCTTTACGTGTTTGCTGCAGGTTTGAGAGGAAGACACCCTTGTAGCTGCCCAGTCTGGATATGTTCACTGCTGCCCTGCCAAGGTGTCAGCGCTCCAGAGAGACACTGGGGATGTGATCCCCTAACACCAGGGACCATTGCAAGCTGCTCCCAGCTTTAATTCATGTCCAAACACTGGCACAGAATGGGGATGTGGGGCAAGGTCCTGCTGCCCACACCATGCCGGTCCAGAAGGACTGTAGGGCTGGTGAGCTGGGACATGCCATGGCAGGTGCAGGATCCCACAATTTCTGCTCTTGGCTGTAATAATCATAAGCCTGAAGCGGATTAATTCTCCTTCCCCATCCCTAACAAAGGACCCCTTTCCCTGGGCTCCCTGGCCTGGCCCTGCCTTCCCACAGCACACGCATTTAGCCTATTAGGATCTCCGCTGATTGCTTTCTTTCATTCCCCTCGTACCTTTCACTTCAGAAAATGGACTGGTAATACTTCTTTTATCAAAGAATTATGGGATTTAGGATCCAGATCTTACAAAGAGACTTTTGATAGCTGCTGGTAATCAAATCCCAATCGGCAGACACTTCTCTGCACCCTGTTACCGGAGAGGAATAAAGGAAAGGGATTTTTGATGTTCTGTTTACTGAGCCTCTGGGAGATAGGATCGCTGGGCTATTTCATATTAGAAAAGGAAAGGAAAATAAAACAAGCAAGAAAAAAAATGCAGACAAGAGAGGACAATATAGATATAGATAAAAAGAAAAGAAACAGGCTCTTATCATTTTCTTATTGGTTAAGGAGATTCCAAAGCCATTATAGAGGATTAGCAGAAAGGTTAATCTGCTTTAGCTGTTCACTTGTCAAAAGTGAATTTATAGGGTTTGAAAATCCTTCCTATGGTGAAACAAGAAAAAATTCCCCTTTTCCCTCCCTTGCCTCTCCTTTCTGCAGGTAGCACAAGGGAACGGGAACAGGAGCATTGGTAACCCTACAACATGGGAGCACCCTCCTCTGCCTTGCCCCTGCCTGGGTGCTGGCACCTGTGGGAGCTCTGGTTTGGCAGTGCTTCTCCCCATTCCATCATCACCTCTGTGGGGTGGCCATGGTGCTCAGAGAACAATCAGGTCTGAGGGATGTGACCTCCTCGGTCTTACCTGGGACGAATCCTGGGCTGTTTCACTGACCCCCTGGCTGGATTTGGGCTTTCAGACTGGTTTCTACAGCAGAACAGAGATGGATGTTTCTGACAAATGTTGCCAAAAACTACAGGCTGGGTGCTCTCCATCCCTAAGTGCAGTTCTCGACCAGGGAGCCACATCTCAGCATCCTCCTGGCCACCCAGTGCAGCCACAAGTGCATCTCAGCCAGTTTTCTTGGGCTGTCTGTGACACTGGCTTATCCAGTGGCATCAGCAGCCGATGCCCATCACTCACACCAGTGCCACTGTGAGAAAAAGCACAGGGTAAAAACAAGCCTTCAAAGTCAAAAACAAGAAGCACTTTCTGGATAGCTGAAATTCAGTGGAATGCATTAGTCAGGTGCTAAAACTATGATTAACAAAACTGCAGAAATAATGGAGTCATGGAATGGTTTGGTTTGCAAGGTACCTTTAAAGGTCACCTTAAAATTGTGCCTATTAAAATAGTTCAACCCTGTGCCAACTGATAAAAAGAATAAAATAATCTGGATTAGATGATAATTAACATCTAGTGTTATAATAAATCTGTTTCTCTCTCTCCAAAGGCCGTTTCATCCCCTGGGAAGAAGTGGAGTCTCTCCACTGGGTGTTGGTGTTATTAGTGATGCTGCTGGTAGGGATGCTGGACACCAGAGAGGGTACCCACGGTGCAGAAGGAGGACTGTGGGGTACCAAACCTCCTCTTCTGCAAAGAACCGCGATGGAATGAGACAACTATTTCACCCTGACGCATTCCAGGCGGCATTTCAGAGATCTCACACCACCTCACATTGACCAAATCCCTCCGTGCTCGGCAGGCAGCACCGCGTCCCTGTTTTTCAGCCATTCTGGGGTCTCTCGCTTATAATTGACTGTGGAAACAGTTTGGGATGATGGTGATGCTTTTCAGCCCCTGGCACGCAGCCGGCGGTGGATCCAAGGATTCGGCTTCGCGCGCATCCCTCCTCCCGAGCGGCGCTCCCAGAGCCCCGCGGTGCCCGGGGGAGCCCGGCGGAGCCCGGCGGGCCGGGGGACAGCGCTAGGGGGGGCCGCTGAGCCCGGCGGAGCCCGCCCGAGCTCCGGAGAGCTCTATGGTCTGTGGTGCCGGCGCTCCCGGCCATGGGAGCGGAGCGGGAGGCGCGGGCCTGCGCCGCCTTCTACGGGACGCTGGGCATCGCCGCGCCGGTGCTGTCCTGCCTGCGCTGCCTGCGCCAATTCGCGGGGTAAGACCGCGGGCCCCGGGGAGGGAACTCCCGGTATCCCCCCGCTTGCGGGTCCGTCGGGGAACCCCCGGTGTGGAGCCCCCGCATCGCCCGGCGCGGATCTCGGCATCCCCCCGAGCATCCCCCCGGCGCGGGCCGGCAGGGAGGGAGTGTGAGAGGGTCGGTACCCAGCAAGGGGTTCGAGCTACCCCCACGTGTCCCCAAACCCTTCCAGCCTGCTCTGTAGCAGCAGGGCAGCAGTCTTTAGGATTTTTCATGTCCTTCTGCACCGCCCACCCCGCCCCACAAAGGGTTTGCAGGTTCTAACCTTTGAGGAGTTCGTGTCGTTTCCCCCACGCGATCCCCCCTTCCCCGCAGTGCAATGCTGAGTGCAGTTGGAAGAGAGGAGCCTCGCAAGATGGGCCACTCCAACCCTGACACCTAACAAGCTGGAGCACCCCGACCCCAATCCACATTGCACTGGAACATTCCCACCCCAGACCCGACTGAGCCAGGGTATTCCCCCACTACAACCTCCACCGGGCCGGGGTATCCTCACCCCACGCCTGTGCTGTTCCAGGAGTACTGCCAAGAGATGCAAAGAGAAGCACCTGGAGGAGGCTCTGCTGCTGACACGGGTGCTGAGCGAGGGTCTGCAGGCGCTGGGTGAGGCAGAGGCACGACCCCTGCTCCGCTGCATCCTGGCTTTCCAGATGGAGGCAACCAGCAGCTCCAGCTCCTTCCAGAAACTGGAACAGGTCTGTAACACAACCGGCTGGGCTGTGACTTCAGAGCAACTGTTGGCCAGAAGTGCAAGGTCTCACCCCGCTCTGCCTGGCCCTGGCACGCTCTGGAGCAGAGCATCCTTACTGGAGACACTGCAGGCTCTCCTGGTAGCACTCTGCAGCCGGTGTCTCCGGGGGGTCTGGGCACAGTGGCTGACTTGGGGTGTCTCCCAGCAGATGGTGACCCAGCTGGCAGTGGGAAAGGAAGCTCTCCTGGCCCAGGAGGTGGGCACGCTGCTGGCCAGCCTGGCACTGCAGGGAGAGGTGAGAGAACCCCAGCTGTGCAGTGGCACTGACTTTCATGGGGGTTTGGGTGCAGGCCGTGTGTGACAGGGATCTCCTAGTTGGGGTTGCTCGGGGTCCTTCACTTCACTTCCCACCATTCCGGGGA